AGGAAAACTGGTAACAGTCCCTGGAAAATAGGCATGAAAGCAAATTCAGGAGGAGCCATGGAAAGCAGGAACGAAAACAGCAAAATAGTTTAATGGGATTAGAGAGACTTGGTTACAATTTTGAATTGGGAGATGAGAGTAGGCCTCATTGAGAAAACGACATTTTGAATAGTCTTGGAGGAGGGAAGGAGTTAGTGGTGTGCTAGGGAAGAGTGCTCCAGGCAGAGGGAACAGCAGGTGCAAAGGCCCTGTTCGAGGCAGGGACAACAGTGTTATTTGGTGCATAGATATTCATAAGTATGTTATCTCACTGTGAATTCTACACATAAGCATTCCAAACTCCTTTTCTTTGTCTTGTTTAATGTTTTTTGCTTTGAATCCAACAATCTTGGCTTCATTGGTGTTTATATTTGCCTGGCTTGCCTTTGACCATCCTTTTATTTCAACACTTTAAAAATTACTTTAGGTTGTCTGTTACATAGGGTATAGAGCTGAGTTTTCATCCATCCAATTTGAATATTTTGTTTCTTTGCAAGTGATTTAGGCACATTTACTGTAATTGGCAGGCCAAATATGTTTGTCTTAATGCTGTCATATTACTTCATGTTCCCAGTTCTCATCTTACTTGACTTGCCTTCAAAATGTGGCACAGCTCCTTCTTCATTCATGTTCTTCACTTGCTTCTAAGACACCCCCTCTCCTACTTTCTTGGCTTACCTCCCATCTCGCTGGCCAGTCTTTGCAAAGCTCCTCTGCTGTTTTTTTTCTTCTTGTTTTGACCTCTCACTGTTGGAGCTAAGGACCAGGGCTCAGTCCTTGGTCCTCTTCCCTAATGGCTCCTGCACCTCTGGTGGACTCATGCAGGCCTGCAGCTTCAAACACCAGCTCTGTGCTGACGATCTGCAAATGCATCCCTCCAGCTGTACCTTCTCTCCTGACTGCGAGGGGCCTGTATTCCAACTCGGACTTCCAAAAGGCATCTTAAGCAGTGCGTCCAACACAGGGTCCTGGTTCTCCTCCAAACCCACTCCTCCCACAGTCTTCCCTACCTCAGTTAATGCCAGTGCTGTCACCTGACTTTTTTCTCTTATACTTTACATCTAACATGTCTGCAATTCCTGAGAACTTTACCTTCCAGCTATTTCTAGAACCTATATGCTTCTCATCACTGTACAGCTACCACTCTGGTATAATCCATCTCTTGCCTCAATTACTGCAATAGTCGGCTTCCATCCTCATACCTCTTCTGTGTGTTCTCAACACAGAAATCTGAGTAATCCTGTTCAGATGTGAGGCAGATAATGTCACTCATCTGCTCAGAATTCCTCAATGGCTCTCTATTACTTTCAGAATGAAAGCTAAATAAAGAAACCTATTAATAAAATTCATTATTACTAAGAAAAAAAAATTACATGAATAGCTCCATGGATGATGAAAAGGCATATTTAAAAAATTCAGCATTCATCCTTGATAAATAAAAAACTTTCAATAAAATAAGAATTCATGGATTCTTACTTAATAATAAAATATATTTATCTCCAACCCAAAGTCAACCTGCTACTTGCTGAGTCAACACCAGAAGCATTTCCTTAATGTCAGAAACAAGAAAAGAAAGCAGGAAAATTATAATTATTTCCAAATTATGTGACTGTGAGATCCTCCCACTAGAGAGGAAGGTTTTGGTTTCTTTGCAGCAAGTTCCAGTCTATTCTCAAGCTTCCTGGTATCAGAAGCAGTAGTGGTTGTGGAAACTTCTTGATCCAACTCTGAAATCCCTGGATCACAGGTTAAAGTGTCAATTCTCCATACTTAGGCAGTTGCTGTGTTTCTAGGCCCAGCCTGTACATATTTGGTATTGGAAATGGTTGCAGGAAATCAGGCCCTCAAGATGGAAATCTGGGATTGGATCTGACCTGGCTAGGTTTGAAGACAATGGTGACCTTGTCAACAGAGGAAAATGGGATACTATGAATCTAGGGCACACAGTTGGAAAAGTTACCTAAATGGTCACCTGTGGTCACCTGGAATGAATAGTTTACTGAAGGCAAGTCTTCAGTGGCTGCTATACCAGACAGTTCTGATGGGAATGAGGGATTCAGAAACTGTCAGGTGGGTTGGCCTTTTCTCACTGTACTGGAGAGTTTAAAGAAGGAAAATGATATATTGCAAAAGTCCAAAAATACAGAAGGAAACTTAGTATATGATAATGATGGCATTTAAATCAGTAAGAGAAAGATGGATTATCAAGTAAACGAAATTGGGCAAATGTGTAGCTATCAAGATATAAAGTAAAGCTAGATCTATTCCACTTACATCAAAACAAATTCCTGATGGGTCATCTTTTAAAAGGAAAAATGTGAAATTGTGAAACATTAAGAAGAAACCATGGAAGAATTTTCAAAGTAATCTAAGAAAGGTAAAGGTCTTTCTAAGTCTGATACAACCTGGAAATACTAAGTAGTAAAAGAAAAGCATGGTAAAATTCACCAATTAGAAAAGGAAAAGGTCTGCTTGCTAAAACAAAATACAAAACAAGCAAATAAAACAGCTCAAGTGAAATCAAAAGACATGGCAAACTGAGAAAAAGTTTTGACATTCGTATCTAAGAAAAGGACTATTTTTACTACTATATAAAGTTTCTCTGTCCAGTAGAAAATTGGACAAAATGTATAGAGAAGTCACAGAAGACAAAATACAAATGTCTCGTTCACACATGTAATAAGAGAAATGCAAATTGAAACATTTTTTCATCTATCAGATTGGTAAATTCCAGTTCTGGCCAAAATGCAGGAAGTCCACTGCAGCCTGTGTACCCCACCGACTACTACTAACCTATAGATAAAATATGCAAAAAAGGCTTTGCAAGCTGGAGAAAGTGTTGAAGACTCCTGTTTTTTCTTCTCCCTCCTCTGTCCTGAGGCTAGTCCCAATCCCAGGGCTGGGCTGCTGTAGTACCGTGACATGGGTAACTAAGACACTGAAAGAACACCTGTGCCTCTGGACAGAGGAAGTAGGAAACGGGACCCTTGTTGTGCAAAGAGCATGGGGAGAATCGAATTCCTGTTTTTTTTTTTTCTCTTTTCCCTCAACACCACCTTTACAGTAGCCCCACAGACAGATAGGCACAACAGATAGGAAGTGTAGGAAACTCCAAGAGCACCCCAGCTTTCTGGCCAGGAGAACTGGAAATAGGAGGTCCTGGGAGCCACAGAATCTGAAGGAAATCCCCCAAAGGACAGAGGAGATGGGACTCCCTAACTGTACGTAGTGGTTATGCAGCAATAGGTAACTGATAACAGGGATCCATGTCATTAACTCGCTCAGGTCAGCCGTTTGCATAGTCCAACAACTAATTTGTCATACTTACTCAAAGTTTTAACTTGTTAATTGTGGAGATGAAATGAGATTGTCCATGTGAAAGGTATTTCTTCATATTTCCATTCAAATTTTGTTTTTGCCAGTCCTTCTGGTCATGTAAATATGAAATTACATGGAGGATGGCCATTCAAGTTCAAGGGATGAGAAGACAGGAAGACTACAATTTCAAAAAGCCTAATAAGTAATTAATGTCTAAACCTATTGAAACTCAGAAACAATTTGTCCCAATTCGCAGAAGAGGGAGAACTTCTGGACATACCCATGCAAGACTTAGTAAGAGACAGCCACATGAGAACTGGTCAGTAAGGTTGTGAGCTGCCATGACAGAGCGTTGGAGTTCTAGAAAGAACAACAAACTGCTCCTATCTAGTAACCAGCTTCTGTTCCCGTCCCCTAGTTTCCCTCCTTCCTGTCTTGAACCTGGAAGACCCAGAGAAGGGGTGGAGGAGTGGAAGAGCAGACCTCACTCCTCTGACTTGGCAGGACTTGGAGGCATCTCTCTGGGCTGAGACAGGTATAGGAGGAGGCGGCGTTCATTCATTGCTTTCTTTCATTCCACTGAGAGTTATTGCAGCCTGTTGTGAATAGGCTGTTCCAGGCACTGGAAATGTATCAGTGGACAAAACTGACAAAAATCTCTGCCCTTGTGAAGTTTACATCCTAGGGAGAGACTGACAGTAAACATAATAATATAAAACATTTAGGTGATGAGTGCTATGGAAAAAAGAAATAGGAGGGTAGGTAAATAGATGGTGGGGCATGGAGGAGGAAAGGGCCTCAGTGAAAAGGTGGGATTCCATTCCCTTGAGGAAGGGAAGTAAACAATCTCCATAATTAAGGAGGGCAGAGGGAACAGCCAGGGCAAAACCTCTGCGGTGGGACATAGGAAGATCAGGGATACCGATATGGCTACGGCAGAGAAAAGGGGAGAGTAGAGGTCTTCTGAGAGATAAGGGCTGGCGGGGGTAACTTAAATTGAAAGTGGAGTTAAATCTAGAGGTTTTAGTAGTAGTCAGTGGGGTACACAGGCTGCAGTGGACTTCCTGCATTTTGGCTAGAACTGGAATTTACCAATCTGATAGATGAAAAAATGTTTCAATTTGCATTTCAAAGTGACAAGAAAAGTGGAGTCTGGACCATAAGAGACTGAAAGGAGGAAAATGTGAAGAGGCATACAGGTTTCCCAGGCTATCAGAAAGCAGAGCATTCCTGTAAGTCGAAAAGCGAAGAATAAATCCCTCACCCTCAACCTCGCTTTCCTTAAGTTCAGTTTACGAAAGACCTACATTAGTACCTATATTCACTAATGGAAGGAAATCCGAGAAGGACTAAGGCTTTTGTGAAAAAAGCTATTACTCTAGTAATGCGGGTCTTCTGCAAGAGCCCAGATACCAGTATGTCTTTTTTAGCGGCTCTACTAGGTCCCACACTCTCTGGGCGCGACAGCCCAGCGAGACCCCGCCCCTCAGCGGAAAGACAGCCCATAGGACACGCCTCTCCCACCGTGGATCCGCCCCCTCTCGGAGAGACTGCTCATAGGGCACGCCCCTCCTACTGTGGTCCCGTCCCCCCACGGTGAGACCGCCCAGCGAGGCCCCGTTCCCTCTCTGTGGTCCGGTTCCCTCTCAGAGTGACAGCCCACAAGGCACGCCTGTCCCGTGCGCCGCCGCGTTCCCACTCCCGGCCTAAGCCCAGCTAGGCCCATCTCAGTTTTCTGCGAAGCCGTTCCGGTCCGCACCGTGAGGACTCCCCACTACGCCCCGCCCCGCTCAGTGCGACGCAGTGCTGGGCCCCGCCTCTCCCTGCGTGGTCCGGCCCTGCCTGAGCGCTCTGGCTTCTGGGCCCCGCCGGGCCTGCCACACCCAGCGCCCGGCGCGCCCGCCCCGCAGGCCCCGACCCTACCCCGCCTCTGGACCGTCCACCGTGGTGCCTCCGGGTCGCGCCAAGCTCTCGGGCCCGCGTCCGAAGACGTGGAGTGCCGCTGCGGCCGGTACGTGGGGGAGGGGACCACAGACCCCCTCGCTGTCAGCGGCGCGGAGCCGGGGTCCATGCAGAGCTGAGCCCGGGCTGCCCGGCGGCGGCGGGGCGCCTCCAGGGACGCCTCCGACTGCCCTTCGTTCTCGGGGTACCTCCCAGTGCTGGCAGTCCCAGGAATGGGGAAGTGGGACCGGGATGGGCGCAGATGCGGGATGGGGGAGGGAGGACTGAAGGTGTTGGGGAATGGCAGTCGCAGGTAGGGGCTGGGGAGAGCCGAGGTTTGGGGAGGGGTTATGGGTCTGGGGGTGGAGAGTTGAGTGATGAAATGTAATGAGGCCGAAACCTGGGGCTGGAGTCAGGCTGCGGGCTTGGGGGTTTTCGGAGCTAAGGAGAATGAGATCGTGGGTGGGAGTGGAAAAAACGGCGAAGCTTAAAGAAGGGCATTTTTTGGAAGGACCAGCTCAGCGGGGCTCAGGATTCATGCTTCCCCGGACAGTCCGGGGAGCAGGCGACAGTTAAGGATATGTCAGAAGGAAGTGTGGCTGGAATGAACTTGCAGGGTCATGCTCTCTTTCACCTCAGGGTGATTGGGTTTCCAGGCTCTTGACTGGGGCATATCGTACATTTTAAGTAATAAATGCAAGTCAGGGGCAGTGCCTGGGACACCTGAGCAATGTGGATGGAATAGAGTTCTCCTACAGGCTGCTTCTGTTTTCCCGGTGCCTTCACAGCGCCAGCCTTGGTGTGCGCTGTCTGCTGCAAAACATGTTCCAGCCGCCAAGACTGTGTGCGGAGGGTCCGGACTTAAAAATAAGTACAGTTGAGGTGCACTCAGACGGAAAAACAGTTGTATTCCATTCCATTAAATCCTGTGGAGTTTAATTTTTTAAAAATCTAATCCCGTGGAGTTAAAAAAAATTAAATATAATTTGTCTCCTTTGAATTTGAACTCACACTAACCTACAGAACTGGATGTTTTCTAAGGGCCTATTCTGTATGATACATAGTTTACTGTGGAAAGTAGACCATATCTGTTCTGACCAGCTATTGCTGAAAGAATTGTAGAATTGCAGGTGAAGAATGAAATTTAAAAGATCTAAAATAATGGAAGGGAATAGAAATGGCCTGGTAAATGGGAATGTGTGCACTTAAAAAAAAAGCCAGTGAAACTTTCTTTTCACTGTAGAAACTTGGAAGATTGAGAAAAAATATAAGGATGAAAATTAAAATCCCATGTAATTTCACCAATCCTATTAACATTTGGGTGCAATTCTTCTTAATTCTTTTTGTATTTTATTGTCTATTAAATGTACATGTTACATCATTGGGGTCATGTTGTTATATTACTTTGTTTGCTTCCCCCACTCCACTTGGCATTTTCCTGGATCATTAAAAATTCTCCTTAAACATCTTTTTAAATGGTTGTATGGTCATCATATGGATTCATTCTTTTATCACATATTAGAGTTTAGTTTTGTGTCAAGTGCTGTGCTTACAGGTGAGATTCAGTGTTGCTCCAGGTTTTCAGACATTATTCCAGCCCAAATAAGCAAAATCTTGGCAGTTTGTGGCATAATGAGAGTAGATAGAAAGTTTGAATGAGAAGAGGAAATATTGTTGCTTCACTTTATTGGTCAGTCCACGGCAAGTCTCAGTTGGTGATTCTGTGAGGAAGTGGCCTTCTGTTGGTGCAGCATCTAATCAGGCCTGGGCTTGGGCTATTGTGGCCAGGCTGTCTTCAGTATGTCTTGTCTCACTTCTCCTGCATCTTCCTGTGGAATCTTGATGCCACCAGGTTCCCAGGTATGGGAATGGGCCTCACCAGCTTTCCTACCTTGTCAGTGTCACTGAGTCACCAAGTGTCAGATTCTAGTGAGGGTGGGTGTGTGCAATGCTGATTTTCCACTATCAAATTAGCCCACATCTTATATAACACCAAGAGGCAGCTGCCTTAGGTCTCAAGGAAGGAATGTCTCACAGTTGCTCTCATAATTAACTGCCTGTTGGAGGTTTCAGAGGATGTCTCTAAGTTGTCTTTACCCTCAGGGCCTCTGGAGGGGTCCTGTCCTTCCTTCTAGCCCTGGTCATTAAAATTGCAACTTTTCTCCTGAGGAAATCCCTCTCATTTTCCAGCTCAATCGGTGTGGCCCTTCATTTTTCTGTCACTGATGTATTCCTATTTTGCTTCATGACAGAGTGATTTTGTAATTTTGGTTTATGTTTCTCCTTGAGTCTGAAATAAGGTGATTTCTGAAGACAGCTGGTGCATTTCCTTCTTACTAGCCTCTGAATTTATAATTTCATTGCCCCCCCCCAACTCAGGAAGAAAATACAGGGTCTCCTATTCTTTTCTTTATCCTTGATAAAATATGCACATACCCCCAGTCCCCCAACCTCCCACCCATGGCTGAATTCACAGTGTGTTTCTCTTCGTATGTATGTTTGGCCTGTATGGCCTGTATGGCCAGGATTTATCTTTTACTGTAGGCAAGTGATTCCAGTAGCTAATGTAAAAGTCACATGAATCCAATTCTTTTATAGGCCTCTCTCTCTTTGACCTGGCGTGCAGTTCAGCACATGCTAAGAGCAGAATTTGGGGTGGCTATCCTGTGCCCCACAGCATCTGTGGGACTACATGCTCTGCCTTTTAGTCATTCCTGGCTGCTGTCCTGGCTGACAGCCTGGATAAAAGGGGGAAATTTGTTGTGGCTGCAGAAATTGTTCTACCTTCCAGTGCCTAAGAAGACTGCATATGTTGAATCATTGTTTTTAGATTGGCCCCAGCTGGGACTATGAGCCTCTCTTCTGTACCCACACTTAAAGCCCTCATGTCCCCCCATCTGGTATTTTGGTCCCATGTACTGGTCGTGTGCATGATAATGGTGGACCAAGTTCCTATTAAGATCCTCTGGTAAAAGCAGATTGCAGAACTTAGCTTAGGCCAAGGCTGCCATGAGGCTTCTTGTTTTCACTATATTCATACCATTGGGCTAGCTCATTGGGAGAAGTGAGTTTAGGGCACACCTGGATTCCACTGACCAGTTAACTGTAAAATTGAGTCCTCCTTATCTGTACCCTGCTGCATGCAGAATGCAGGGGCAGGAATCCCCCAAAGGAAAGGGCATCCCAGAGGTGTTCTTACACAGAGACAGAAATTCCCTGAGCAGTGTGTTCCCCCTAGGTGGGTTACAGGGACCAGAAGAAGAGAGCACAGGAGTTGTAACAGGGTGGGGAAGGGTCATCTTAGGTAACCAGGTTTGTACAGTGTGGCTCAACGGATGGCATGTGTGGGACAGCTGAAAACCGCAAGCATGAACGGAGCAGAGTTGGTCCTTAAAGGACTGTCACCAACAGTGTTGAAACCTCAAGAGCATTTAATGTACTAGAGCCTTAAAGGGGTCAAGGCTTACCAGGCTCCACTAAAAAGCCTTAGCGGGCATTCTCCCCCAGCCCCCATCCCCATGGTTCACGTTGCTCAGAGCAGCGTCTGCACAACACTGGCACTTGTGTTAGTCTGTGAGACTTTTGTGGCACTAAAGCATGCAGCTGCACAGTTTGGCCAGGCCATTGTTTCTTCTAATGACAAGACTGTAAAACTGACTTTATTGACTCAGTTCACAAAAAGGAAAAAAAAAAGATCTTTTTCATATTATTCAAAGAGCACTGGATTTCAGTCCTATATCTGCCACACTGGTTGTGTGATTTTGGGTCTTGTGAACATGATACAGTGAGGTCATGGAACTAAATGACCCCTAAGGCTCCTTCTGCTTTAAAGATTCTATCATTGTGCAGCCCCTCTGGGGCTTTTGGCTGTCTCCTTCTGCATAGGAGGGGGTGTGCCTAGGTACTGAGTCCTTTCATTTTATATACTGTTGGACAGAAGGCTTTTTCATTGTTAGTAAGTCAGGTTACTCCAAACAATCTTTAAAGTTAGGCAATTTCTTTTGGTGTGTTTTTAATCTGGGGACTAAAGCAAAATATTATCTTGTATTATACAGTTTTAAAAAAGTATCATTTGGCCTTTACTAGAGGGTGTGTTTTACACTACTGTTGAAAATGTGGGGCTTCTATACTATTCTATGTACAACTATATATAATATATATAGTTCTATATACAATTGTATATACAACATATAGAATATTGTATATAGTTCTATATACAACTGTAAAAGCCATTTTTTCTAATTATTAAAAAACCCTTGCTCATTAAAATTCAAATCAAAAAGAAAAATATAAAGAAGAAAATAACATTCAGCTTAAATCCTACTACTTAGACATGGCAGTTTGGAGAAATATATCTGACTAATCATTGGTGGCACATTTATTATGCCTGGGTGGCTTAGTCAATTAAGTGTCTGCCTTCGGCTCAGGGTCCTGGGATCGAGTCCCGCATCGGGCTCCTTGCTCAGCGGGGAGCCTGCCGCTTCCCCTGCTTGTGCTTGCTCACTCTCTCTCTCTCTGACAAATAAATAATAAAATCTTAAAAAAAAAACAAAACCCGCACACAGTATAGACTGAAATGTGAGCGTTCCCACACATGGTTCAGGGTGGGAGCTCTGGTCTCTGGCCACCAGAGTTTAAATCCCAGCTCTCCTGCTTTTTACTGTGTGACATAGGACATACCTACTTAACCTGTTTGACCTCAGTTTTCTCATCTGCTAAATGAAAGTGTTGGAGTTTCTTCCTCACGGGGTTGGTGTGAGAATTTAATGAGTAGCCCAGTGCTTTGCATGTAGTAAGTCCCCAGCAAAAGTTAGCTAGTGTTGTCGTTTTACTATTAGTATGGATTGTGTATATCCATAAATGGGATCACGCTTTGCATTTTTTTTTTACCTTACAATGTGTTATAAAATGTTCTCCATGTTAATATAGTTGCATCTGGATGCTAGTATTGATGGTTCTGTTGTATAGTTGTGACACACTTTATGTATTTAGCCTATCTCCACTTGTTAGATTTTCAGGTTGTCAGTTGTTTCTTTGCCATAACTAAAACCCAAAAATAAATAAGAAAGAGAGAAAAAAAGAAAGTTGTAATGAACTTCTGCTATATATTTATTTTATTTTATTATCTCTTTGACATGAATTCCTAGAAATAGCACTGTTGTGTTGAATAGTAGGAGTATTTACTATTACTTTTCATACTGCCACTCTCCCTTCTGGAAAAGTGGTATCAAATTACAACATCTGTCAGCCATGGGTGAGAATGCCCAAATTTCTACACATGTGCTAATTCTGTCCACCTTTCAACTTCAGCAAATCTGAAAAGGGAAAGGCATCTTCTACTTACTTTGCATTTTGCTTATTAGTATGTTTGAACATCTTTTCAAAGTGTGTTGGCTGCTTTGTATTTCTTTTGTGACTTGTGATTTCAGTTTTTTGTGTTTTTTTTGTTGATTTGTAGGAACTCTTTGGCTATCAGAGATAGTGATACTTTTGTTTGTAATATATTGGAAATCTTGTTCAATGCTTGTCTCAAGTAATGAAAGGCGTATAGTATCTCAAATGAGAATAAATCATTGCACAAATATTATGAATCTCTAGCTGGTGCTTGTATACATGTTTGGAATGGAAACCCGCATTTAGTGTCTCAAAGAGATTGTTTTATGACCTGGTCATTATGAATAAGGGAGGCTTTTTATTACTGACATTAGGCAATGCATAATTGCCAGAAAACTGCCACCTTCGATGCATGTCCACATGTACCATGCTGAACCCTTGATTGTGCCCTTAACCTAACCATTCTTTCCAATATACCTTTTTATTTACTCTTTCCCGTGTCCCAGGTCAGCAACCTTGGAGTTATCCCTGTACCTTTTCCAAGTTGAAGGGTGTCTGGTTCTCACCCTCCCTTCCCAGAAAGTTAATCCTGCCTCCCCCGGCTGCACCGCCCCACCTGGTTACTGCTATTGTACTCAGGCCTTGTGTTAGAATGATTTGGTGCACACTTGCTTCTGCTAAAAGACTGTGAGCTCCCCAGAAGGGAGATGGGGACCTGACTTATTTTTGTACCTTCAGACTCTCACAGCATGGCTCAAAATAAGTACCGCATAAATGTTTGTTGCATTTGATATTTCCATTTAAAAGTTGATGATGCTTAAGCCTCTGTAGTCTACTGGTAGATTAACCATTTTTCCCAACCTTTTGTTATGAAAAATTTCAGAAGTTCGGGGGAATTGAAAGATGAAAAACACTCATGATCTTGCCCCCTAAATCTACCTATTGAGATTCATATCACTCTGACATGTAGCTAATCCTCTGCTCAGAAACCTACAGTGACTCCTTTCTGGCCACTGGAGTGGATGTGAACTGTAGCATTCCTTACCCTTAAATGGTCACAGCTCACAAAATGTTGCCCTCTGCTCGGTCAGGCCAGTCTTACTGTTCTTCTCCTATACTGTCTTTATTCTTGCATCATTGATTTTACACATGTTATTTCCCTGTGTAGAACATGCTTCTCTTCCTTTTCTCTTAATTGAAAACTTTTGTACATTAAGTGTTTTGAGTTCCCATAGCTCTAATTGCTATCTTTTATCATTCTTTCATTCTGTATAATTCCTGACCACATATTCTAGCTGTTGGAATGGGACTACTGTGTCCTATTTTGATCTGGTTATCTTCATAGAGCCTAGCGTTCTGACTTTGGATTTCGCTGGCTTTTTTAGAATAACATTCCTGAAGCATTTGTGCTATGATGTGAATCCAGCATTGATTTACAATACCTATGTTGCCCCAAAACTATGCTCTGTTAGAGAAAAACAAAAGCTTATCACCATAAGTCAGATTACACTGGTCTGTTTGATTAGCTTGTTGCAAGATCATGGTTCACCCGAAAGAATGGAAAGGTGTTCTGTGGTGTTGGTCACTCTTTTTGCCATTATTCCCAAGAATTGATTTGCACTTGCACTTTGGAGTCATTAAAACTTACATCAAGTACAAAGCTAGAATAAGTAAGTCTAAAGTCTAGAAATTGTCCCTGCTGTGAATCACTGGGTTAAAGAGATTCACATGAAAAACATTTTAGAGAGAGGCCATTAGGCCTTAGTGACTGATGCCATTTGTGAGGGTCCAAGTTTACTTGAGTATTTTTCAAGCTTGGAAATGGAGATAAAGATGATATTCCTGAGAAAGAAAAACTAGGAAGGGAAGCTGATGCTGGGGACATTAACTCCATACTTAAACATGAATTCAGACTGTGTCAATTCCTTGCTTTTACTGAACTGGTGACTCCTATTGTTTATTTGACAAAGCCCAGTTCCTTTGCAATCAGGGTCCCTTGTTAGACCTGCTCATTCCCATCCGAGCACCCTGCCTACCCCCCCCCCCCCCCACCCACAGGTAGTGCCGTAGCCATACCTAATCACTTGTATTTCTCTGATACTGTTGGGTGTTTTTCATTATTATTTTGTAGGGGAATACTGTTTCCTCTACTTAGAATACTCTCCAAGTCTCGCCAATAAATTCCTATTCATTCTTCTAAATCCTGTTCAGGTGTCACACCCCTTGTAAATACTTTCTTACTCTTCCTGTGTGAGAGCACATTTTACACTGCTGTCCTTCCCTTACCTGAATGTCCTCCCTACTGTGTTCTGAGCTGCTTACGGAACAGGATGGTGTTCCCCCTGACTTCGTACGGGCCTAGCTCACACGTGTGGTCTGAACCATTGGTTGAGCCTGTCATGTAACCCATCTGGATCATGAAAAATTTTCCTTTTTCTTGGAAGCCAGAATTAGGTGTAGTTAAGAGAAACTACAAATATATATATTTGTCTATATATTTCTCTTTTCCATTGTAACCCATGTACTTTTTATTTTATTTTAATTTCAGCAAGTTTGTGAAAGATGAAAGTGACCTTATCAGCTTTGGATACTTGTGAGAGTTCCTTCACACCTTTGGTCGTCCTAGAACTGGCTCAGGATGTCAAAGAAGAAACCAAAGAATGGCTGAAGAATAGAATTATCTCTAAAAAGGAAGATGGAGGTGAGTAAAATAAATATAACTCGGACTTAGTCATGATCAGTGACTAAAAATATTTTTTTAAATATGTTTTACAGTTATTTCATTGATGTATTTCTAAAATTAATATCCATTTCTTTGTTCTTTACTATTTATCTGGACTTGAAAGGAGATCTTAAGTCCACATTAGACTATAAGCAACATGAGTGGTTTTGTTCACAGCTATAAATGCTATGTCTAGTACACAGCCTGTCACATAGTAGGTCAATATTTATCAAATGAATGAACAAGTATCTACTGAGTGCTCTTTATATGTCAGTTATGATGCTAAGGGAGAGATTAATATGGTCTCTGCCTGCAAGGATGTTACTGTCAGTATAAGGAGACTGAATGCCAACTCCTGGAAATTGAAGTAACAGGACAAAAAACCCAAAAGAAAGGGCTGTTACACAGCAGTGCATGATACTTAAAAATGAATTGTATATAAACTAGCTGGAAGAGTAAAGGGAAGACAGAGGTGGCAGTTAGTGATGGTTTTGGGGTGGAAAGGGATGACTTTATAGAAGCCAAAGCTTAGCCCTCTCCTGAAGGGCAGAAAGGGATCCAAATCGGGTGAGAGGGTGGAGGACATTTTACATGAGCAAACACTTCATAAAACTATACAAAACAAGAATTGATTTGCACTTGCACTTCACCTAAAACTTCATCTAAAACTTCACCAAGTCTCCAAACACTGAATAAAACTTAAATAGAGTGTTTTTAATAAAGATTTTGACTGTAAACTGAAATGGTTCCTTTATAATAAAACCTTGAATCAAAGTGGAATTTTTAAGTTTTTGCAAACAACTGAACCAAAAGAAAACTTAAAAATAAGAGTACTTCTTACTGAAATCTGAAGTGTTTCCCTGGGTTGGAGTCTCTTCTTTAAAATTCCTATGATGCGGGGCGCCTGGGTGGCTCAGTCGTTAAGCGTCTGCCTTCGGCTCAGGTCATGATCCCAGCTTCCTGGGATCGAGCCCCACATGGGGCTCCCTGCTCGGCGGGAAGCCTGCTTCTCCCTCTTCCACTCTGCCTGCTTGTGTTCCCTCTCTCACTGTCTCTCTCTCTGTCAAATAAATAAATAAAATCTTTAAGAAAATAAATAAATAAAATAAAATTCCTGTGATGGAAAAATATTTGTAGTGCCTAAGAGCGAGGGACTCCAGTGTATTCCCAGTCTTCCCTGCTCACTGTGTTGCCTTCAGCAGAGAGACACAAGGATGGGGTGGGGGTGGGCATCTTTCTACACTGCTGGGAAAAATGAAAAGAACCTTCCAAAAAAGTATTCTGATCTTTCAGGTAAAAAATGGTGGATTTCACACTCAGGTTTACTTTTACTCTCTTTCAAACATGACAATAAAAGGGTTTTTTTTTTAAAAGAGGTAAGTCCAGTTTGACAAAGAAGAAAGGAAAGAATATAATAGCAGCACCATTTTGGAAGCTAGAAAACAGGTGGATGAGTGGTAAATAACTTCTCAGACTTGAAAAAGTCAAAGCTGAAGTTGGCAGGGGTACAAATGGAAGTTTTGCAGTTTAAACCAAAAACTTAGGTATTAGTGACTTTAGGGGCTTTTGGAGGTGGAAATAAGTGGTACCAAGAAAAAGAAAAAACAGTTGGCTGAGATTCATTTAAGAAATAGATCCCCCGTTCCCTTCTGTATTCTACCATCACAGCAGAAGGCTGACTTTTCTCTGCAGAGGGGTCAGATGCTTGGATTTTGGCATGGGGACTTTATGTACAGTTGAAAATAGAGATTCTGTACTGAAAATAGGATAATAACTGATTATTATTACCCCTATCCTCCACCCCACCAATCTCATACCTAATTTAGTTTCTAAAATATTAGCAGCTAGATTCAAATCATCTAAGAAGCAGATTGAATAATCTGTCTTGAGGAGTCTGATCAAAGACAAAATAAGCAAAGGTGCAGAAATCAGAGAGTTGACCATAGAAAACAACCTGGCCAGATGACTATGCTTAAAGGCTATCTTTAATGAGCTCCATCTAAGCCTTCAGAACTTAAGTACAGCCTCCTAGAACCCCTTTCTTAAACATGCACCTATAATAAAAGATCACCAAACATCTGAGAAAAATCCCTAGCATGAAAGAGAAAGCTAAAACTAAACAAACAGATAAAAATAGCAAACTCTGCAGAAAAAGAAAACCAAGAGAAAATTTAAAACTCAACTCTCAGTAATGAGAAGGTAGGACAGACATTCTATAAATCGAGTTGGATACGGTAATATATTCATTTAGGAAAAAAAGCTCATATAAAGTAGAAGTATAAAAGCAAAACTTAAAAACTCGGTAAAAGGGTTAGAAGATAATTTTGATAAAATCTCCCAGAAAGTAGAGCAAAAGGTACAGAATTGGGAACTTTGACAGAGAAAAAGTAAGGAAGTTAGAGGACTAGTCCAGGAGGTATGCATCTGAATAAAAGGAGTTCTGGAAAGGGAACAGAGAAAAAGGAGAAGAAATCATCAAAGGAAAACACTCAAGGCTGATGCCATGCTTTTTCAGTTGGAAAGGGCCCACCCAGTGCCCTGCACTGTAGATGAAAATGGCTTACCATTGGAATGTTTTGGAACCCTGGGAATGGAGAAGATACTACAGACTTCAAGAAAGAAAGACAAAGGTCACACATAAAGAATCAGACTTCTGAGCAGAAACATGGGAAGCTAGAAGGCATTTTCCAAAGGAAATCAACTTACTTGTAATTCTTATTTATTTGGAAGATAGATTTGAATTGTTAATACATTTTTCTTTTTTTTAAATTTTATTCATTTGAGACAGAGAGACAGAGAGAGCATGAGCAGGGGGAGAGGCGGGGGGGAGGGTGAGAAGCAGACTCCCCGCTGAGCCAGGAGCCCGACATGGGGCTCAATCCCAGGACCTGGAGATCATGACCTGAGCCGAAGGCATATGCTTAACCATCTGAGCCACCCAGGCGCCCCATAATACGTTTTTCTTATATCAAACTAGAAACAATACTTATTTAGAATGTTTTCATTTTTGAAACTTTTCTAAGATTGTGCTTATCTTTTGTTTTTGAAGGTGCCCAGCTCCTGTTTAGACCACTATTAAATAAATATGAGAAAGAAACACTAGAAAATCAGAACTTATATCTTGTTGGTGCCTCCAAGATTACATTGTTACTGGGTGCAGAAGCAATAGGTTTGGTAAAAGAGTGTAATGATAACACTATGAGAGCCTTCACATATGGAACCCGACATAACTTCAAAGGTTTTGATGGTGAGTCCCAAGATTGTTTCTATCAGAGTCAATTTATCTCAAAAATAAGCTTTTGATGAGTAGATCAGGGGTCAGCAAACATTTTCAGGGGCCAAACTGTAAATATCTTAGGCTGTGCGGGCCATAGACTTTCGCCCAGTTATTTGACACTGTCCTTGTAAAGCAAAAGCAGGCTTAGACCATAAGAAATGAATGGGTGCAACTGTTCCAGTAAAATTTGCTTTTAAAGTATGGTCCATGGGCCTTATTTTGCAATCCCTGGAATAGATGAACATAAATTATTGTGACACATATAATTTATTTATATTCTTCTATCCTAATTCTCAGGATGGTGAATATTCACTAGTTTGATACAGAAAAATCTTATAATGGGAAATACAGTAGTAGTTCAGAATCATAGAATTGCCATTTCCTGGTAAGGTAACCAGTTCTCTTCTGGTCTCACAGGGAGTCCAGAAGAGAATGGTTTCTGGAAAGCACTGAGAAAGCCAGGCTGACCAAGATGTCAGACTGGGAGTTTGGCTTCAGAATAAACTGGTCCCTGCCAGAGCTTTTAGAGTTGGTAGAAGATGTGATGTGATTAGGCTTCTTCAGACTCACTCTGGATTTGTATATCTTAGTGCATAAATGATAATGGTAAAATTCACCGCATTTAAGAGGATTCACTTGCCAAAAAACAATACTGTTTTCTTTTTTAAGATTTTATTTATTTGAGAGAGAGTGCACCTGCACGAGCAGGGGGAGGGGCAGAGGGAGAGGGAGAAGCAGACTCCCCAATGAGCAGGGAGCCTGATGCAGGGGCTTGATCCCAGGACCCCAAGATCATGACCTGAGCTGAAGGCAGGCACTTAACCAACTGAGCCACCCAGGCGCCCCAACAGTACTGTTTTCTTATCAGACTATCTTCTCCCACATTTATGGGAGGGATGTTAACTCCAGAAGGGAAGGGCCTGGGCTTCTGAGTTTGGAGGAGGAAAATTTGTCATACAGCCAAACTTCAGTTCCATCCCTAGTTAGTATAGTGTTAGAATTAAAGAGCATGTTGCCTTCTGCTTGTTGGTATTAGATAAGATGAAGCAAGTACCTGCCATTTAGATGTTTGTACTATATTCTGTTAGAACTAGTAATGTATGTAGTCCCCCCCGCCTTAGCGGTTGGGGGGCACATTCCAAGACTCCCAGTGGATGCCTGAAATAGCAGATAGTATGTGCTGTTTTCCTATATGCATCCCTGTGATAAAGCTTAATTTGTAAACTAGGCACAGTAAGAGATTAACAACAACAATAATAAAATAGGACAATGATAACAATCTACTGTAATAATTATGCAAATATGGTCTTTCTCCCTCAAAGTATCTTATTTTACTGTGTGCACCCTTCTTCTTGTGATGATGTGCTGATGAGATGAGGTGAGGTGAATGGCCTAGGCTACCACTGACCTTCTGATGGCAGGTGAGAGGGAGGGGGTCAGCCACTTCTGGACTGTGTAATTCATGGGCTTAGCTAACTGCCCAGAGAGCACAACTGCAGATGAGGGAGGAGCATTGTACAATGTTTGAAGAATTGTATTATGTGAAGGCAAACAATACTTTTTTTCTTACAGAATATCTAAGGCGCTTTGCATTCTGTTTAATTTAGCAGTTTTATACTTTGCTTACTCCTTATGTTATTTATTGTTTATATCATCATTTCTATAATCCCAAGTTATTTGAATGTTATTAATTTTATTTTGGCTGTTACTGAGAAAATAACTGGAAATTTTTGCATTCATATAGATGACAATGATGACTTCCTTACAATGGCAGAAGGTCAATTCATTATCAAACATGAACTTGAAAATCTTAGAGCCAGAGATGAAAAGATGATCCCTGGTTACCCCCAGGCAAAGTTGTATCCAGGAAAATCATTATGTAAGTCATTGTATCAACCAGCTTCATGAATACACATTATAATGCAATTATCTTTTCTTAGTAGACATGAATAACAAGTTAGAAAGGCTTTATTTTTTTTCTCTTACTGAAAAATACGTAGAACTTTACAATAACTTATTTTTTGTGAACATATCTTTTGCTACTAGAGCTTCATTATATTGTACCTTTAGATCAATATATTTGTTCTGTATGGTTTGCTACTTACTTATCAAGGAATCTTGCAGCATTCAGTTAGCTTAAAATTGGGTGTGAATACATATATATATTACTCAATGAGAACAGGAGCCATCGTCTTTTCCTGGAGCCCTCTTTCCATCTGCTCTCATCTCAGTGAGTGAGAACTTGGGAGCAAGGCTTAGGAAGAGCACACAGTGACATAATACCTGAATGCAAATCAGCAGTTTGTAACTTCATGTGTCATTCCATTTGAGTGAGAATACTAGTTTGCAGATGAAAGTGCTCAATTCCAAGTTTGCCTCAAACTCCCCCAGATGGTGGCCTGCACTTCAAACATATAAGCTGCTGTGTTCTCTAGGCAGTATAATACTACCTTCCAGTCTTTCCCCCGACTCACCCCGGGAGGACAGATGCCTGAGAACCAGTGGATTGCCTTTTTACTTTGTTGATATTATCTTTTGATGCATAAAATTTTAAAATTTTCATGGAAGTCCAACTTACCTATTTTTTCTTTTGGCCTCTACCTTTTGTGTCATATCTAAGAAATTATTGCCAATGTCATGAAATCAAATCCAAGGTCATGAAGCTTTTCTTCTATATTTTCTTCTAGAAGCTTTATAGTTTTGGGTCTTATATGTAGGTCTTTAATCCATTTTGAATTAACTTTTGTCTGTGGTGTTAGGTAAGGGTTCAATTTCTTTTTTCTTTTTCTTTTCTTTTTTTTTTAAGGGTTTAGTTTCATGCTTTTGCATGTGGTTATTCTGTTTTCCCAGTACCATTTGTTGAGAAGACTGCCCTTTCCCCATTGAATGGCCTCAGTACCCTTGTCGCAAATCATTTGACCATATATGTGAGGGTTTGTTTCTGGCCTCTGTTCTGTTACATTGATCTATGTGTCTGTATGCCAGTACCACATTGTTTTGGTTCCTGTGGCTTTGTGGTCATTTTTTTTTTAAAGATTTTAGTTATTTATTTGAGAGAGAGAGAGAGGGAGAGAAATGAGCATAAGCCAGGAGAGGGGCTGAGGGGGAGGGAGAGGAAGAGGGGGAGAATCTCAAGCATACTCCATGCTGAGTGTGGAGCACAATGTGGGGCTTGATCTCACAACCCTGAGCCAAGCCAAAACCAAGAGTTGGCTGCTTAACCAACTGAGCCACCCAGGACCCCAGCTTTATGGTAAGTTTTAAAATAAGGAATTTTTTTCTTCTTTTTTAAGATTGTTCTGGTTATTTGAGGTCCCATGAAATTCCATATGAATTTACAGTGGGTTTTTCTATTTTTGCAAAAGCCCTCATTGGGATTTTGATAGAGATTGCATTGAATCTGTAATTGCTTTGGGTAATATTGACATTTTAACAATGTTAAGTCCCATGTACATGGGATGTGTTTCCATTTATGTATGTCTTATTTCATTTAGCATTGTTTCGTAGTTTTTCATTGTGTGAATTTTTTATGTCTTTAGTTAATTTCTAAGTATTTTATTCTTTATTATGCTAGTATAAATGGGATTGTTTCCATAATTACCTTCTCAGGTAGTTCGTTGTTAATGTATAGAAATGCAACTTCTTTTTGTTTATTGATTTTGTATCCTGCTACTTTGCTGAATTCATCTATTAGCTATGACAGTGTTTTTGCAGAAAAGTTAGGGTTTTCTGCATAAAATATGATATCACTTGTCAACAGAGATGATTTACTTCTTCCTTTCTAATTTGGATGCATTTTATTTCTTCTGTAATTGTTTGGGTTAGAACTTCCAATTCTGTGTTGAATGGAAGTGGTGAAAGTGGGCATCTTTGTCTTATTCCTGATCTAAAGGAAAAGTTTTCAGTCTTTCACCATTCAGTATGATGTTTGCTGTGGGCTTTTCCCAGATGGATTTTATTATGTTGAGGTAGTTTCCTTCTAGTCCTAGTTTGTTGAGTGTTTTTATCATAAAAGTGGTGAATTTTATTAAATAGCTTTTTCTGCATCAATTGAGTTGATAATGTGGTTTTCCCCCCTTCTTTCTGTTATTATGGTGCATTACAGTAGGCAGACTTTTGTACTCGAACTATCCTTGCATTCCAGGAATAAATTCCACTTGCTTGATGTATGATCTTTTTACTGTGTGGGTAAATTGAGTTTGCTAGTATTTTGTTGAGTATTTTTGCATCATTGTTCATCAGGGATGTTGGTCTGTAGTTTTCTTGTAGTATTGTTGTCTGGCTTTGTATCAGGGTAATGCTGGCCTCATAGAATGAGTTAACAGTGCTCCTCATCAATTTTGGGGGAAAGTTTGAGAAGGATTGGTATTGGTTCTTTAAGTATTTGGTAAAATTCACCAGCGAAGTTGTCAGGTCCAGGGATTTTCTTTGTCAGGAGATTTTTCAGTGTCCTTAGTAGTTCAGTCTCCTTACTAATTATAGACCTATTCAGATTTTCTATTTCTTCTGACTTATGGTAAGTTTTCATTGTAGGTTTTGTATTTCTAGGAATTTGTCCATTTCATGTGGGTTATCTAGTTTGTTGTTAGATAGTTATTAATAGCACTCTCTTACAATCCTTTCTATTTCTAGAAGTATGGCTTTTAGGAGGTATCAGGAAATTTGATTATTTGTCTACATTCCAGTTATCTGCATATGTCTTGATATTGATTATATTGTAGCAGTTTTTGTTGGACATACATATTTTCAATATATAGGTTAAAGATTACCATGATTGCAGAAAAATTTTTTTCAGTAAACTTTTAAGAGTTACTTGGTTGTATTTACTAGCTTCTTGTCTTTAGGTAAGCCAATTATGTGTATGTGGGCTCTTAAATGTTCTCTGAAATATTTTTAAGGTTTTCTGTAATTTTCTTAGGCTTGTCTACCATTTTCCTGGCTATGTTTTCAGTCTTTCCTAGTAGTTTTTATTATGACTTTGTATCTGTAGTAGTTTTATGTGTGTCTTAAATCACTTTTCTGAGCTCTCACCTTCAGCTCTTGTAGCTCTTCTTTGGGTTTTAATTTCAGAGAGATGGCTTACTTTCATTTCTTTAATTTCATAGTCTTGCATTGCTTGCTATAATTTCCTGCTGTGTTTCTTTTCTGCCTTTGTTTCTGGTTTCCTTTTCCCTGTAATATTTCTGCATAGTTCTATGCCAGTTACTTGTGGTTATTACTTACTTTCTAGTGAGCCCTTGTTTTTCCAGACCACTGTCTTTTCCAGCAGATGCAGTTCAGGAGTCCGCCATGGGTCCTTTTTGCCCACATCATCTGGGCAGTGAGGCAATCCCCACCCCTCGGTGTCCAGGAAAACCCTGCCCTCTCCTCCTTGACCCCATTGTGCAGAGGCATGGGTGCTCTTAGCTTAGCCTGGGCTGACTTTTAAAGCCTCTTCTCATGGTTTGTGATTTGGATTTATAGTTTTTTTCCTTACCTTCATCAAAGATAGGTGTTTCCGTTTATATGTCTTGTTTCCTTTGTTGTTTTTAACTTTTGTCATGAACAAGAACAGGGCAGAGGTGTCTTTCTGCCACTGTTTGTTACCAGGAGTTCCACATTCTGTATTCAGGCAGTTGTTTGGTGCCTTTCCAGAATTTTAAATCTTTCTTAATCTCTTAGTGGGAATAAGACACAGCTGGGTACAAAACAGACTGAGGCACCGTCTTGGCTGTTAATGTCAGCATCCCATTTCTTCCTGTTTATCCACATTATTCAGATGCTTATGTGGAAGCCCCCGCTTCCTTCTGCTAGTTTCTGCACAGGTACATCCTCTTTCTGCTGCTGGGACGGGGACTATGTGTACATTCCCCGCAGATGGGGCTCGGGCAGCAGCAGTTTTCCAAATGTTCCCAGCTGCTTCAGAAAGAAATTTCCAACCGAATGAAAACCTTGAAGGCAATATATGTAAATGGATTTTTCTTGGGTGTATAGGTACCCTGTCTGGTGTCCTAAAGCCATAATAGAAATAACTTTCTTGCTGGCAGGATGAGGCTTTATAAACAAGGATCCTTTCTTTCTTTCTTTCTTTTTTTTTTTGTAATGCATATAAAGATAATAAAATCATCTCATCATGGTCATTTGAAAATTTATTATACATCTGAAGTAAGAATCATATTTCCATTATCAAGGCTGGATTTTCAAAATCTGCATTATTCTCTTCCTTTATATCTTTGAAAATGTGATCCCTAAAATGCTGTGTTATATCATAATATTTGGTTGAAGAAGAAATGGGATGTGCATATGGGATATGTATAATTATAAAGTGTGAACTGTTTTTCAGAGTGCAAATTTTAGAACTAATAAAACTCAGAGTAACTTAAAATCTTAGATTTCCATGAGGTTAATCCATAGCAATGAATGGAAAAGCTTTTTTTTTTTTTAGGTTTTATTTATTTGTGTGTGTGTGTGAGAGAGAGAGTGCACAGGAGTCGGGGGAGGGGCAGAAGGAGGGAGAAGCAGGCTCCCCGCCGAGCAGGGACCCCCCCCTTCCCTCGCCCCGCCCCTCCCGACATGGGGCTCAATCCCAGGATCCCAGGATCATGACCTGAGCTGAAGGCAGACGCTTAACAGACTGAGCCACCCAGGCACCCCCCGCCCTTTTTTTTTGGCTTTTAAGTTTCACAGGAGACACTTCCTGGGTATCCTCTTTCCCACAGCTAATTGGGAGCAGAGATTGTAACCTGTTCATTGTGATCCCATCAGCACTGTGAGAGGTAGCCAGGCCTTTCATGAGAAACACTCTCTGCTATTGCAGGTTTAATTTCATTTTGCACACAATGATTGTGATTTTGTTTGCTACAATGTTCTGTTTTGATAGCTTTTGTTAAGTAGATGGCA